TCATAAAAAAGGAAGGGACAATTCTGGAAACATAAAGTATACACAGCAAAACATAGGCTTATCCAAGTGTAGATATAACAAGCAAGTAAATGTCTCCTGTTTTTGGTCTATAGGAACATTATTTTATCAATTATCTCAAAACAGTTCATCAAATCAATCCGCAAACATCCCACACATCTGGATGCACCCTGCCCGCTCTCCCCTGCCCTGCCTGCTGACCCCGGTCCTCCGACACCAGGCAGCCCTCACAGCCCTGCAGCAGGATCTATCTGCCCCATTCAGGCCCCCACACCTGCACCTGTCACAGCACTGCGGCCCCACCCTCTTGTCACCAGCGGTCCTCTGCACTGCCACCTCCCCTGCTGGCCTCCCAGCCTCCTGCCAGCAGGGATGCGGCTCATCAGCCTCGCCAGGAGAAAGGGCCGCTTTACAACACCCCAGCGTTCAACGTGACAGCTATTCTTTACTCAGTCCCAAAATGGAGCCACGCGAAGCTTTCGCTCAAGGTTAGAGCTTAGGTTCATCAGAGAAAGCACTTTCTCCTGCTGGAAATGCAGCATTTACAGATAGAACCGTGTGGAAAGCACGGCCACTTCTAGTGCTTCGTGGAGGTGCCAAGCTAAAGTACTGCCCATGCTCACTCTTCCTGGGGATTTAAAAAACTGGTTTCTGTTTCTTATTGATGCAAATAAGTGACCCAGCCAACCAGTCTCCCAAGAAGGCCCCTTCCAGTTTCAGTCTGGCACCCCCAGATCAAGGAGGCTTGGTACACTCTACCTGGTTCTCAGAGACACCGACACCAGTGGATTTGCGGCCGGTCATTGTGGTTTCCACCCCAACACCCACTACTGTGCTACATGTGCCACCTGGAAACAAAGGCTCTGATGTCACCGCTCAGCCTTCACGAAAGGCTGATGGTTTTGTGCTGTGTTGCCTGAAAGATCATTTCCCCAATTCTCATTAGTAAGGTCCTGGCCGAATCCTTCCTGTTCTACCCTTTAAGAGCTGTGCCAATGACACTCGCTTGGTTTGCTCTCAGGAAGACCTGGCAGGTGGGTGAGCGGAGTCAGCCCACGTGGAAGTCATTCGGCCTCGGTAAACGTGGCTGAAGTCGTCCCAGGACCAGCAAGGTGAATCCCTGCCTTCCACGGGGAGACCTGAGGCCTGGGGGGCTGGCGACTTGCTCAAGTCACACAGAGGGAAGGGATGGACCTAGGATTGAGCCCAGCCTGGTCTGACCAGACTCTATAGTGGGTTACTCAGAAAAGCTTATTTTATACCAATACTCACTCTCTTTAACTCCTCAAATTATAAAAAAGGGCCTTGAACCCTTCCATCTAAGCAAGATTCAAATAGAAGGAAGAGACTTTCACAAGGAAAAGAGAACTTCGGTTTGTGTTAGGACTAGATTAGAGCCCCAGACCCAAACAGGGCCCACAAAGCCCTGTGTGTCCACCCTTGCCAGCCTCTGCTGCTCCCTCTCGGGCCACTGTCCTCGTGCCTGGGGCTCCAGCCACCCTGACTTCCTTTTGGCTGCTGCAGTGCTCCTCCCTGCCAGGGGCCTTGGCACATTTGGCCCCTACTCAAGTTCTTCCCCCACCTCCTCCGGATTATCCCTGCTCGTACTTCAGATCCCAGCTCAAGCACCACCTCTGCGGAGAAGCCTTCTCCAACCACCGGACTAGGGGATCCTTTGGTTCTACGCTCTTCTAGGTGTGGCTTCCCTACCTTCAGAGCAAGCAGCACAGTCTGTAATTGCACGTTCATCAGTGTGATTATCTGATGAATGTCTTTCCCCCAGAAGCTCTGGGCTCCATGACAGTAGCTACCAAGGTAGTTTTTGCCCATCACTGTATCTTACTTAGAGTAGGACCAACTCGCACGGGTGCTCAACGAGTACAGATGCTCCTCAACTTACGATGGGCTATGTCTCCATAAACCTGTCCTAAGTGGAAATATCGTAAGCCAAAAATGCACTTAATACACCTAACCTACCAAACATCATAGCTTGGCCCAGCCTACCTTAAATGTGCTCAGAACACTTACGTTAGCCTATAGCTGGGCAAAATCACCCAACACAAAGGCTATTTTATAATAAAGTGTTGACTCTTTCATGTAATTTATGGAATACTGTACCAAAAGTGAAGAACAGACTGCTGCATGGGTACTCCAAGTACGGTTCCTACCGGATGTGCATTGCTCTCGTACCATCGTAAAGGGAAAAACTGTAAGCCCAACCACCGTGAAGTCAGCGACAGTCTGTACTTGTGGAATGGATGAATGACCAAGCAGGTAAATCATCTCATGCAACGCCCCCTACAACCCTGTGAGGTAACACTGTTAACGCTGGCATTCAGCTGATGTACCCCAGGACAGCCACGCCTGAGGCTTAGAGCCCCCAGTCCCCTCAGTGCCAGGGCCTTAGTCAGGGCACAGCTTGGATATCATCCCTATGTCCACCCTGTCCTCTCTGGCAAAAATAGAAAAAGAAAGAAGCCCACAAGGCCATCCCAACCCGTAGCACAAAGCGGCACACTCACCCCGTGTTTCTGAATGGCCACGTTGGTGAGATGCACGAACATGTTGTCCAGCTCGCTGGTACTTGGGGTGTACTTCACCGTGCAAAACCGGCAGAACCCAAGCTTGTACCTATGTAGGAATTTAGATTAA